AACAATCCCATATAATTAAAGAAGAGGAAATACTTCTCTCATTTTAAAAAATCAAACATGATCCCAAAATGAAAATCATACAAAAACATTTCAGGAAAAGATGATGCCCCAGTACCACTCAGGATTTAAGGATGCAAAAATCCTTAAAAAATCCATTGTATCAAATCTAGCAATACATAATAAGGACATCAGGAATAGGTGGGTTTTCCAGGAATGGAGGTTCACTGAACATTAGAAAGCCTATCAGTGTAATTCGCCATCTTAATAGAATAAAAAAGAGAAAAACCATAGGGTCATTACAACAAATGCAGAAAAACTTTTAATCAAATTCTAAATCTCTTCAGGATAAAAACTATTAGCACACTAGGAACAGACGGGAACTTCCTCAACCTAATAAAGGAGGTATAGAAAGCTTACACTAACATCGCATTTTTATAACTTGTTATACTGAAATAATTTTAGGCTTAGAGAAGCTTACAAAAATAGTACGAAAAGCTCCCCTATCCCATTTACTCACCTGCCCCTAAGGATAATATCTCATATAGTCAAGCACAATGCTCAAAACTAAGAAATTAACACTGGTACAAAACTGTTATCAGCAACCTAATTTGGACTTCAACACCTTCCCACTATGGCCGTCTGCTGTCCCAGGACCCTGTCTGGGACCCTGTCTGGAACCCCACACTGCATTTGGTCAGTGTGCCCTCCATCTTCTTCAGCCGGCCTGGTTCTGTAGTCAATCCTCCCCTTGCATGAAGTTGACACTTTTGGGTTTACCTGGCCAGAGGAATGACCCCTCCCTTTGGGTGTTTCAGGTTTTCTCATCATTATGTTGAGGCTATGCATAGAATACCACAAAAGTGATCGAGCCTTCCCACCGTCTGTATCATGGGCTACAGGATAGCAAGTCTGTCTTATCACTGGTGATGCTAATCTCGATCAGCGGGCTTAAGACATAGTCTACCAGGCTTTTCTACCAAAAAGTTACTCTTTCAAGCTTTGTATATAATAAATGTTTGAGGACCAATACATTGAGACTACGCAATTATTTCTTAAACTTCTGCCCACTGATTTTAACATTCATCAGTAGATCCCACATGCAGTAAGTTCCCCTCTGAGGGTCTGATGGTAATTTTCTAGTTCCCTCATTCCTTCTACATTTATTTTATTTGTTTTGTTTCATTTTATTCTGATACTCACAAGATTCTTTATTTAAATATTTATATATTTTTCATTTTATTGTCTTCTTAGTTTTAATGGTACTTATGACTACATATCTATCTACATAGTTAAAAATTCAAAAGTTCCAAAAATAAATAAATAAATAAAAATTCAAAAGTTCCCAAACCACATGTAATGAAAAGTTGAACACACACCATGGGTCTCATTCACTTAGTTCCCTCTCCTGAGGCAACCAATGTTACCAGTATCTTAACATGTTTCCAGCTGTATAATGTATAAGAAGTATATACAGACACATTTTTTCCATTATGAAACTACATTTATTAACTGGAATTCATCTATAAGGAAGACATATCTCTTCTTAACATTTTATTTGTTCAATCATTTATTTTTGTAGTGTGGAAATTTTATTCCTTGGGTCATAATAGACTAATAAATAAGAGTAATAAACAATAAACTATTTGTTATTTAAATTTTTCCAGCTTTCATCACTGGGACTTATTTAAGGTTCACTCCTGCATCCTATTAATGCACCTCTATCTATCTATCTACCTACCTACCTACCTATCAACCTATTTTTGTTTTTTACTTTTTGGTACCACAAAATTCCATGGGCTTATCTTTTATTTTCCCTATCCAAGCTCTGAAATCAACTACTTTTCCAAGTACCCTTGGTTCTTTGCTTGGAAGAGTGATATTTAAAAACTAAGATTTCAGTACTTTCTGTGATAATTAACATCATATTTAATGATAAAAGATGTTTTCTGCATGAGATCAAGAACAAAACCAGGATGTTCACTCCATCATTTCTATTCAAGATTACATTGAGGTCCTAGCCAATATACTGAGGCAAAACAAAAAAAAAAACAAAAACCAAAAAACAAAAACAAAACATACCAATCGAAAATGAAGTAAAACTTCTTATTTACATTAGGATATAATCACCTATGCAGAGAATATTGACTAATACACACACACACACACACACACACACACACACAAACTACTAAGTGAGCTTTGCAAGTTTGCAGGACATAAGGTAATATACAAAATCAATTGTATTTCTATATACTGGTAACAAACACTATGAAAATAAAATTTTAAAATACCATTTTTATCAGAAGACATGAAATACTTAAGGACAAAACTAACAAAATACAGATAAGACTCGAACATGGAAAATTATGAAACATTACAGACAGACATTAAAGAAAACCTAATTAAATGGAAAGGTATACGATGTTCATGGATCTGAAGCCTTAATCCTGTTCGAATGTCAATTCTGCCACAAATTTATCCAGATTCAACATGGTATCACACAAAATCCCAGCAGACTTTTTGCAGAAGATAACAAACTGAGTGTGAAGTTTATATAGAAACTTATCCAGATAAATTCATCTTCTAAAACATCCTCCAGAGAATCTTAAAGCCTGAAGGCATTTTAGAGATCATAATTTTATGTGAGTAAAATGGCTTGTCCATTTCCCCACAGGAAGGAAGAAGCAAATCTAGGGCACAGATCTCCACACTTCAATCCTGTGCTCTTCATGATATTCGCAATTAAGATTAATTCTTTTTCTTTTCTTACTTAATCTAGGAAGAGATTTAGATTTCCCTTCAAGATACTAGCTTCTCTATATGTCATCTCTAGCTTTGCCACAATATATAGAAAACTGGCCAATGATTATGTAATGATAAACCTACAAAACAGCAAAACTCCCAAAGAGTATTACAGCATTCCCATAATTAATCCCCTATTTCTTCGTGATACAAACCCAGACAAACCCAATCACGTTTTCACAGTCTTCCAGAGACAGACTCAAAATGTGCGGACGCTGCTGTCACGCTGCTATACTGTCCCTCAAACAGGGAAGATGGCTGGAAACATCCGTGCCTCATCTGATATCCACCCAGGTAAACCCGCAGTAGAGCTCGGTCCCTGATGAATTCTATTTATGGACACTGTAACTTTCGTGGTTATGTTTCTTTATGGAAGACACTTAAGACCTCTTCTCAGATTAAGTGGCACCTACGTTTATCAATTATAACAATTTGAACTGTCTCCACAATACATCACCTAAAGCTATGTGTGGCAGCTCCTTCTCCCTGCTGGCTGGCCCCCGCCAATCCCATTCACCTCAAAGGAGCTGGCGGGTGTCTTGCTTTCACCTTGGCTCTAGGCATGTCCAGCCCCAAGGAGCAGAGACAGGACGTGTATCTCCCAGAGCTTTCCCCAGGTGATCCCACTTAACACAGAGAGCTGAACCCTGCCGAGGAAATCTTTGTGGCATATCTTAGTCTCCTGACAGGATGGAAGAAAGTCCATGTTTTGCCTCTTCTTTAAGTTAGCAGTGACACACTGGTGCCTCACAATTATCTCCTCAAGAAAGGTTTTCTCTCCTTCCTTCTCTCTCTCTCCCTCTTTTTTTTTTTTTTTTTTGAATTTTGCTTGGTGAGGGTCCAGCAAAGGGGTATTTGTTTGCAGCCTATAGCTTTGTACACCAAAGAAAACCTCTGACCCTGTATTATTTTGGGGAGACATAAGAAGACTTTGATCCTTCTCTTTGACGAGGGTCTTTTGTAGTGAACTGATTTGGTAAAAACAGTACATACCCACCATTAGGGTCTAAAGAGGGAAACAACCCACAAAGAACATCACCAGCGTTATAAAGTGGATGTCTAGTCATCTACATGAAGAAAATAAACGTTTAAGAATGGTCATGTGCTTCTCAGAAGGGTCGAGAAGGATCTAACATCTACCCCTGTGCTTTGCACCCGGTGGGAGTCTAGAGTTCGAGTAGAGGTATTTATTACCATGCAACTATTTTACAAGAAATGCTTAGAAAATCACCATACTCCCCATTCCCATAACATAATGCAGAAATTCAGTACTTGTGTTCTTCCTCATAAGTCATATGGTATCACTCTATCTTTACCCTACGGATTAATAGAAGAGAATATTTGGCACAAAATAGATATTTCCTAAATGTTGACTGTATATGTTTCAGAGAAAAATAGGGAAAACTGGAATAAATTGAAATAGAAGGACTAACGACACAAAGAACTAGATAAAGATTCTAAGCAAATATGGCATTACATAAAAATTTTACATGAGCATTTGAAAACCAAAAAATCAAAATCAGTGCCTATACAGGCAATAACTGAAATAGAAGAAATAAAATAGACAAAGATTAAAAAGGACTAGATATAATAATTTCCTGTCCTAAGCAAAAATTACAGTATTAAAAACAAGCAATAAGCAGATCACAATAAAGTTACAAAATTAGTAGCATCCATTTTGTGGGCATTAAAATTCAGTTTCAAATAACAGAAAAGCCCCAAATAAGAAAAATATCCATTTCTTTGTTAAATATTGAAAACTAAAGGGCTTTTTAATTCCTTTTCAAATAAGATTCGTATGAATAAATTTGTAGAGCTCACTTTAAAATTAAAGACATAAAGACAAGGAAAAACATTCTGATTCATTTGCTAGTTTTCTTAAAGAATAACATAACATTGGGGTCTTTTTTTTTCTCCTACTAATGTTAAGGAAACAATGAGAAGCAAACTAACATTACTGTGATAAAAGAAAAATCAACCGACCATACTGAATAACATTTCAAGATGCATTTTGGGAGTCAGAATTATCAATAAATTTTTGGCCAAAGAATTTCAATATTATATTCAATTATATGTAGAGTAAAAATGAAAACTATCATTACATCACTGAACTGAATTTTATTCACTTAAAAAATTTTTTTGGCCATAAATTCATTTTTGCCAAAATATATAAAGATTGTTCCATGAAAATAACCTACCTTTTTATCGTATACATCTTGCCAGTTGACTCCAGAGAAGAAACTGTGCCTCATAATTTCTTTTGCATCATCTGGGCCCCCGCCAAGGCTAAAAGATAGACACCAGAGTGAGAAAGCATTAAGACATTTACATAAGCCCAACAGGAAACAAAAAAGTGTTCGCAAAATGTAATTCTCTGTGGCATACATAGTTCTTGATTTCAAGAGCTGTACCAATAAAAAACTTTTGCTGTCAGATCTGATTTCTCTAACGTGCTATTAATAAGTCAGTTGAGCACCAACTCTTGATTTTTGGCTCAGGTACATTACGTCACAATCTCAGGGTCTAGGGACAGAGCTTCGTGTTGGGAGTGTGCTTGAAATTCTCCCTCTCCCTCTGCCTTGCCCTCCACCACCCTTGCACTCTTGTCTCTCAAATAAATGAATCTTGAAAAAGGAAAAAAAAAAGAAGGAGGAGAAGAAGTAGCCTCAGGACGATGTCATACCTGAAAAGTGTGCAAGGTTTGGGGTCAAAACTGAAATAGGCAACCAGCTTTGGAACTTATAAGATTTGTGACAAGGAACAAGCTCCTTAGTCCCAGTGTCCCCTCTGTAGAGGGGGGACAATGATGCCAGCCCTGTGGATCCCCGCGAGGCTTAGGAATAACAGAAGTAAGCAGCTAGCTCAACAAATGGTAGCAATTACCACAGTCAATTCTATAAACCAAATTTATTTTGGTTAAGACTCAGGTCAAACTGAATCCTTGTCACCATAAATTCTGAAATGACTAAATAATTAAAAAAGCAACTTGTATGGTATTGCTAACAGATAGAAACTCAGGGGCTATTTTCATACCTCAAGTGGATTTCCACAGAAATGACATTGCTAATCTATGAAATACCACTGCAACATGATTTATTCTGCTAGCTGCAATACATGTTACGAATTTAAAGATGCTCCCCCATCTTTCCAGGTTCTCTTACTTAACGAAAAGCTGGCATGGTATGAAATTCAGGTACTTTCTGGCTTCCTCGGTTTCAAACACATAGCGCATACTAGTCACTAGGAAGAAGGAAGGAGAAAAGAAAAAAAAAAACAAAACAAAACCAAATTAAATTAAAAAAAAAAAAAAACAACAGATGGAAAGCAAGGAGGGAGTGAAAGAGAGAAAAGGAAGAAAAAAAGAATGGGGAAAGAGCAAGGAAAAGAAAGGAAAGGCAATCTGTTTAAATCTGGATTGACAAAAGCAAGCTTTCTCTGGTCTTGTTAGCGGCTAGGAACTGTGTGCGCCCGTAAAGGCATAACAGCCAGTTCTCTGCGGAAAATGATACATGTGTAATATCACATACGCAGATTATGTACATGTTTGTTATGAATTTTACAGACGTAAAGGATGCGAGGCATAAAATTGATAAAGAATGGTAAAATACAGAATGCCCTTTACTCTAAAATCAGCCAAGTGATGGTCACAGATAACATTTGTTAAATTTTGCTGAACTCAAAAGCCACTAACTGGCTTAGGAGTAGCTCCAAGGTGAATACTGACTGATCTTTTTGTTTATGGTGAACACTAATTTGAAACTGATAAAACAAAGATACACATCAGACCTCCGCTTGCTTGTCAGTTACATGAGTGACTTCTTTGATGAATCGTGGAAGATTATTTCCTCATTTTTGTGTGCTATTCACAATAGAATGGATACAGACAGAACAAACTTTATAAGATATAATCTGTGTGGGGTGCCTGGGTGGCTCAGTCAGTCAGTTAAGAGTCTGACTCTTAATTTCAGCTCAGGTCATGATCTCAGAGCTGTGAGACTGAGCCTGTGTCTGGCTCCGTGCTGGGCATGGAGCCTGCTTAAAATTCTCTCTCTGTCCCTCCCTCCTGCTCTCTCTCTCTAAAAAAATAAAATAAAAATAAAATGTAATCTTCATTATTAATATCTTTTCTATTAGTTTCTTAAATCTAAACAATCAACAAAACAATAAAGCAAGCCCTGACTTACAAAGTTTGCCAGTTTTGGTGATGTAAATACTCTCCCCACGGCCAATTTCAAGTTAGGAACCTGTTGTCACACAACACAGAAGTGGAAAGACATGCACAGAAACAAACCCTTGTTTGGTATTTCTATACAGACACAACAGTTAAAAGCAACCTCGAAAGCACCAAGAAGGGTAAAACGTAAGTAACAAAATTATTAAGGAGTGCTGAATTTTGAGTATTTATTACCTTTGTTTTTAATGTCCTTGTTTTGGTTTGTAAGTTCATATAATTTGATTTTTAATCATGACCCTATTAAACAACCAGCTCACAAAATCCTTGGAACATAACAACAGGCTCTTATGAGTTGGTTCAGGCCAACTCCCACACACCACTGGGTAGGAAGAAACACAAACAGGTCATCATAAACAAACGATAATACAATCTAATGGTGCTGGTTATTATTAGGCATAAGGAACACATGACAGAGGAAGAATCCAGGATTCCCTGACACATGGTCAGAATGGAAAATACAACCATGAGCCGATATCTGAGTATCTGTGATGATAATCCATGGTTCCCACAGTCTAGGTCTCCTGTCCCAGATCGCAGGGGATGAACTACAAGGCTGACAGCGAACTTCTAGGCTGGACCAGATGGTACGAGTGGTGTTTGTAGGCACTGGCGGGTCTGTATTCAGCTAACGCCAGCGCTCCACCCCCTGGCCTCACTCTTTCTCCGTCTACTCCAAGTGGTATATGTCCCTCCCCGTCTGGGCTGCAAATTCTTTTGAGGGTAGAGATCGGGACTGGATGATCCAAAAAGCATTTCAAGCTTGTACTTAGAGAGCCGGAAAAGCAGACCCACCAAAATAAGTGTTTCTGAAGAGAATTTAACATCTCAGAAGTTATGCATCAAAGTAGTCCGCATGAGGAAACTCAGAAGCTCGCTGTACTTTCTTACCCTTCCACTATTGTTTTTCTTTTGAATGACACAGGAGATGGTGGGGGAGGTGGGAGTTGGGAGTAGAGAACCTTCATCATTTTGTAAATAGAAGGTTTTTATCCAGCTTCAGTTACTCATTTTATGTCACCCCTCTGTTCTCTTGCAATAGCTTGGCTTTGGACATTGCCAGCATTTAATCTATATTTATCAAATACATAAAAAACTAAAGTATCAGCCATGAGTACTACGCGAAGTCTAAGAATATAATCTTAGACTGCCATTTTAGAAGCTGGGAGAGATTCTTTAACACGCGCTTTCTCCAAGTGTGAAACTGTCAAAAATTTCAATGTCAATGACTCCCTAATATACAATTTAAGACTTCAAAATAATATCAAAATACGATTTGCACTAAGATATTTATGTCTAAGAATAGTAAACTCCAATACCAGAATGCCAAGCTAAATCCTCAGCTACTCTGGATTCTTCATTATTAGCAATATCGTGGAATGCGTATTTTCCTGGTGTTACCGAATGCAGCGCAAGGTCATGCTTTTCCTCTCGATTGTGCATAGGAGGATAAAGGAGATACCAACAGAATGAGCAAAGTGATGGAGGATACGAAGTAAAGACAAAATGGTAGTTGACCCTTTGGTAGAACTGATGGTAAAGAATATCAGAAAAATTCATCAGTATTTAAAACTGTTGAAGAGGAAAAATAATGAGGTGCATCGTAATGCCATCTTACTATGTTTCCAAAGACTTTTCAGGGTCCTTTAGTGCCTCTTTCCCTTCTTTCTACCTCTTGAATTCTGATGTTTCCCAGGATACTGTCCTAGGCCTTCTTCCGTTTGTCCTAGACTCCCCCACTATTCTCAGGGCTCCAGCTGCCTCTGAGCCATCGACAGGGCCCCAAACCATATATCTAGCCACTGTGTATCTATTAAGCACTGGTACAGTTTTGAGCTGTTGTCTTCACATTTCCATCTAGGTTTTCTCACAGATCTGACTCAGTACAGCCAAAGTGAATATGAGCATCCTTCCCACAAGCTCCTTTGCCTGTGCTCCCTGTCTGCTAATTAACACCCCACTCTCCAAGAGTCACCTGAGCTGGAAACACAGAGGAACCCCCAACTCCTTCCACTTCCTCATTATTTCTATTCAATTATCCACAAATTCCGATTGATTGCTCCTCAACCACTGCCTCTGGAAGGACCCCATCTCTTCTCTGGACAATCCCACACACGTTTTCAACGGCTCTGCCTACCTGTCCCTGGCCCTTCCCTGTTCTAATCCATCCATGACGAAGCTGCTGGTATTATCTTTCATAGCACAAATCCGATTACACCATCTCTTACTTCATAATTCGGTGGTTTTTCATCCCCCTCCAAATAAAGGGTAAATATTCTCTAAGAAGCAGAAGGTCTTTGCAATCTACCATTTCAGCTTTATCTCCCAACATTACCCAACTCATACTCTACACACTAGTCGCTGAACTTGTCAAATGCCATGTTCATTCACAATTCTAGGTTCCTTTTCATGGCAATTTCTCTACATGAACAACCCTTGTGGACTCCAACCCACCTAGCCCCCTAGACAGAGCTAATAACTCCAACATGCACTTGTAGGTAGAGCTGAGCTGTAAGTACGCATTCTGTGTCCTACATTATTCTATGAACAGCGACAGCAGAACTTTGTTTCACTCATCCTCGCATTCCCGATACTTTATTTTTAAAAAGTATTTTATTTATTCATTTGACAGACAGAGATCACAAGTAGGCAGAGAGGAAGGCAGAGAGGAGGAAAGCAGACTCCCTGCCAAGCAGAGAGCCCAATGCGGGGCTCCATCCCAGGACCCCGGGATCATGACCCGAGCTGAAGGCAGAGTCCTTAACCCACTGAGCCACCCAGGCGCCCCATTCCCGATACTTTAATGCAATAGTGGAGGCGCTTGCTTATCTACCTTAAATGAAAACAGCGAATCATTGCAAACACCCTGTCTTCCCTTTAGATAATACCAACGTCTGGATGGACAAACCTTCAGTTGTCCTACATATCAGCCCACTAACAATCTAGAAATTTACCTACTTATTCAACAATTACTAAGTATCCACTATGTGCTATCCCAGGGTGGGAGGCGGGGGCAGCGAACAGGAAAAATGAATGAGACACAGACATGAGAACCACAAATGCAAGGTTGTTCCACCAGCTACTTATGGGGGGGGCATAAAGGCAAGGGCTGTCAGAGTTACCTGGAGGAGTCACAAAAGGATAGGCTAAAAATTCATTGCCCTTGAAATCCAAGCCAAATATTAGAACTAAAAATCAAGCAGATAAAATGGAAATCCTAGCTCTGCTTAAAGATCATCTATTACCAAGTGCTGTCTGTTACATGAATTGTGAAATAATCACACTCAGTAGAACACATTTCAAAACCTGAACCCACTGAGAAGGGGCTGCATTGCAAATAAGATACAACAGAAATACCAAGTGGGCATCAAGAAAGTTGATTACTCCTATTCTACAGGAATTTTCTGGAGCATAAATTACTTAACTGTCTCCAGGCCTCAGTTTTGCCCTCAGTCAAATGTCAATGAGAAACCTACCTATCAACTCTACAAGGCGAGAGAAACAGCAAAGGGGACCACAGATATGCAAATGCCCTAAAAAAGAACACTTAAAACCACTCTACAAACACGAGGTAAGCTTCCCATTACTAGGATCATAAAACACATTTTTGAAAGGGTCTTCAAGAGGCAAATGGATGGTGTCTCTTTTACTATGTTTGCTTATTTCTGCTGAAGGGTAAAATCATGCCCCTCATAAAGTTTAGAGGCTACAAATGTGTGATGGAAACCATTGCTAATGTAAACAAAACCCACATTTTAGGATTCATTTATTCCTTCTTTCATTAATTCAGTCTGTCAACAATTACATAATGAGCAGAAAAAAACAAAAAACAAAAAAACAAAAACAAAAAAAACCAGAACTGTGCAAAAACACATTATGGGAGGGAAGATTGGACAATAAAATCTTGAAATCTATCCTCAAGATGTTTAATATCGAAGTGATTTTTAGAGCAATGCTGGCATGCCTACTCATCTACAGGAAAGGATGGCCATACACATGTATAAAAGAGATTAAGGGACGTTTTTACAATAATAATCATTCCATATATGACTTACAAATTATATGTGTAAATGAATATAGAAACATGAACAGAGAACACTAAGCTCACTGATTAATTAAGCAAAGGGCTGTAGGATGCTTCAGGTCACAGCTGTAGCTACAAAAGAAATACAAAGTATGTAAAGGTATTTTGCCCTTAACCCTCTCTGGCAGTACACAGAGAAGTGTATCTTCAAATGGCAAACAAACAAAAAGCAGTCTGATTGTTAATCCAGGTTGGCATGGGAGGAGAGTAAAGAGCTGGTTCTATCTTTTTTATTCTGTAAATTAGCATAAATAAAAAGGCCCAGAGACTGAAAGGGGAAAAAAAAGGGATACTTCTATCCCCATAATAGCAAGTACCAGGGCAATTAAGAAATTGTTCACTCACAATATGGTTAAGAAAACCTCTGAAAATCCTTGTTTGGTAAAATCTGCATAAAATTTCCAAGTTAAGAAAGAGTTGAAGAAATTTTTACAATGTTCTGTATTATGCAGTTAAAAATAAGTCAGTATTTCAGTGGGAAGATGTCTACACCAAATACACTGTTCTTGGAGTTAGTTATATTTGAATTAATCTCTGTATCACAGCCTCTACCCACATTCGTCCGGAACCCATCAAGTGTTACTTGTGGCTTACCGTTTATTTGGATCCTTTATCAAGAGCCCTGAAAGCAGTGATTTTGCATCTGAAGAGAGTGTTCGAGGAAATTTAATGTCTTCCATTAGTATTAGTTCAAAAAGTTTCTCATGATCCTGGTTGTAGAAAGGTAGCCTCCCACACATCATCTCATACATGACAACCCCCAGGCCCCACCAATCCACCGCTCGGCCATAGTCGTTGTCTTCTAACACCTAAGAGGGAAACCAGTGAACAAATGCATTATTACACACGAACTTTTAGAGCAGTCTTCACAAAATGTACTATTCTTATATCAAAGTGAATCCTAACTTGCAAAGCCTAGGTGGGCTATCCTGACACCTTGACATTTAAACCAGAAAGCATCCCACAAAAGATATGAGTCACACTGGATACAGGAAATATCTGTTCAATCCTCATCTTGAAGTGGCCAGTGTAGGAGAAAAGGGTCAGGCCACGCAGCATATTCCAAGCGAATGACAACGAAGGCTCAAGCGAAAATGGTTTGCGTATTCGCATGTTTTCTCATAGGCCTACTTATTTTTCACTGTAGGTCCACTACATGGACTTCAAGTAACTTGGGAGGTTAAGTCCTGCTGATCGAGTGTATAAGGAGCCATGGAGAAGCACTAAGGAACTCGGGTCAAACTGTAAGGACAGGAGTCATGTACACAGAGTCATATAGACAGGTTCAGGGCGCAGCGAGCAGGACAGTCGAGCTGGAAACTTCTGGAGGGCCCTACGTGTTTATACTCTTTAAGGAAATAGTCCACAAAGCAAATATAAAGATTTACTATTTGGGGTGTGTCCAAAGCTTTATTAGTACCTCACAATAAAATTTCTGTTAAACACAAACAACAAAAATCACGGTGTAATATCTCTCTGGCATGTGCCCTTAAATTTATTTCCCAAAATACATCTCATGCAAAACAAATTTAGAAAGAAAGGACACGGCAGTATCAGTAAGACTATGTTAGAGCGACCTATTCAAATTGGGGCATAATATTTCATCATTTGTCCCAGGAAAATGTTGATTTTTCCCTTTTTATTAGGTATGTTCCTTAGCCAATGCAATTTTTTTCATTTATTTAGATCTTCCTATATTTTTAATATTTTATTTATTTATTTGAGAGACAGAGAAAGAGAGCACAAGTGGGGATTGGGGCAGAAGCAGACGGAGAGAGAGACTCTCAAGCAGGCTCCCCACTGAGCATGGAGCCCCACCCAGGACTTGACCCCACGTTCCTGAGATCAGGACCTGAGCCGAAGGCAGATGCTTAACTGACTGAGCCACCCAGGTGTCCCAGAATCTTTCAGTATTTTATTTTAAATTACTATATCTGAATAATCTTAAAGCCTACTTTATCTGATTCTCCTGGCTTTGGGATAGATAGAGCAAGAAAACCACACCCATGAAATTTACCAAATAAAAAATCTTATAACTGATTACGTAAGAATTTCACACAGAACAAAGTGGTGCACATGTTCCAAACTTTCTTAGAGTTAAGTAAATCAGTTATTGGAGATGATGCACATGTGACTTTTATTTAAAATTTACTAATAATGTCATAGAATTGCACATGGTATGTTTGACAGTTAAATTTCGATTACCTATCAATACTATGAAAAGACACTTGGTAGACAGGGTATTTATATGCATGGAGAATGTAAGTTTGAGAAAAACTACATTACTTAGCAGTTATTTCAGTGTCTTTCAAATGTTATGAGAAGATTTTTAATTCAGTTTTATCCCAGTTCCAAGGCAACACAGGATCTGCAAGATACGAACACAAGTCCAGTTCCTATGTTCTTCCAAAAAATCTTTTGTAGAGTAACAAACTAAGCAAAATATTTTGGGGAAGAACAACAAATTCTAGTTTTCATCTTTGGCTAAAAATATTTCAAATTTCTACTTGTACGAAATGAGTAATATAAAAACAAACAGAAAACAAGAAATAACCTAAAACAGCAGAAAGAATTCGGCGTGTGTACTTATTACTTCAGTGAAAGGAAACGCTGTATGTATGATTTTTAAATACCAGGGACTTTCGATTATTCGAGAATCTATCTCCTGTCCAATTAGTAGAACGTACTGTTTGTGGGCCTGAATCTAATAGATCGAGGATTTCACCTAATGACAAACAATTTTAAAATCTAAGTAACCTTTTACTCAATTCCTACAACACCAACAAAACAGTGGCACATGCGAAAAAGAGCCAAATGTGGTTTTTAACCTCTTTTTTCATAAAACCATAAAAAGCATAAAAGCTGGATTAACTGCTTCCCGAACCCACATTTCACCAGCCGGGTTCTCATCCCCAGCTGGCAAAACTGGCAATCCTTTATTTTTGTTTAAATACCTGGTTTGCTGCCAGAAAGGAAAGTGAGTACATAAAAAAAGGGTTTTATTTTTGAAGAGAAATAAGCAACTGAAAAATAAAACTGCATTGTAAAAAAGTATGTTTGATAAAATAAATTTTTCATTTCGCTTTGTAAAATCAACACTGATTCTCAAAATAAATGGTTTTGCTTCCGAACATATGCGTCATACGCGTTTTAATGAATATATAGATACATCATGCTACAATTAGGACTGTTTGCTGTATTACTTTGAACTGAACAAATCTGATGTGATATATTATATCTTATCGACATGTGAAGTCCAGCAATGTTGAGGAGAAAAAACCCTAAAAACGCAGCCAGCCCTCTTAATCTAAGAGTCTTTGTTCTCAATTAAAAAGAAAGATTTCTGTTCAACTCCCACCTCTAAACAGCTGGAAGAGGAAATATATAAGAAATAAAAAGAAACGTGATTATAATATTCTACATGAGGATACAGAATATAAAACATGTTACCATTCTTCAGACATCACTCCTCTCCCCCTAAATTATCTTGAAACACAATACGTCCAAAGGCTCTAGAAACTCCAGAGTGAAATGAAAATCCACAGCTTCTTTTGTATTATTTTCTAAAGATAATTTTCCTCCCTTACTCAAAGCATGTATTTTTCCCCAATTACAGTAACATATAAAATTTACATTCCTTAAACTAAGAGCTGCAATCCCTTCTGCCTACCTCTGATGATTTTTTTCCCCGAAAAAAGCCTAATTTCCCCTAAAAAAGCCCCAGAAGGGCAGATCCAAAAGGTGGGATTATTGGTAAGGCAGAGGCACAATGATGGCAAAGTGCGTTTCAACTCCATTACCACCTGCCTTATCATATAATCTGGATATAAACGCAGATCAAAACCTGCTCCTAGAGAAATATAATCCACTGAAAGACTTCTCCTGAAGGATTAGCCTAAAGAAAGTGTCTCTTTTCCACAAAATCACTGTTACTCATATTTTCAACTGAACTCAAGGTTTCAAAGCTAAAGTGGACATTCGGGATTTCCTGTGTGCCCTACTGTCTCGGTCATCACAGATGTAGATCTACTCTGTGACTATATTTAATGCAAAAGACAGACAGAAAGGACAAGAGGTGATTTGGAACACCAGAGGTAATGTAAATATTCAACAATGATAAGAGGTCACATTAAGTCGATATCCAAACGGCACCCAAATGCTGGGAAACGAGGCTTAGTTTCCATTTTTCTACCAGAAGCCAGAGACTGCTTCACTTTCTGATGTAATAAAAGCAGTTTCAAGGAGGTCACAGCAGGTATCCATTACCATTAAATATTCTGGTAACATCTGGTTAATATTTGGTAATAGCCGATGTAGGTGCTGTACAAAACAGCCAGGGTAGTTGAACAAAAATCGGCATGAGTGGCTCTTGAGTGGTTACTTATTTCAAGGATGATGTTAAATAATAAACTATGAATTTTAAAATGATACCATCAGTTAAAATTCCCAGTGTAAATATTTATTTGGCGCATGGGCACTTTCAAAAACTATCTTTACTCCCGTGTTCTTTTACCAACTAGAATTTGCTGGAAGGTTGAAGGAACACCTCCCTCGGCTTGGCTGCCCGGCCACACAATGCACCCAAGGCAAGCAATTATAAGGAGGGGATGTCTGCCCCGGAGTGGCTTGCTGCTCAATCAATAATCCAGACAGAACAGATGGGGGAAAAAATTAAACATCCAAACAAACTGTCTGCACACCTATGTTGTGAAAGTAAACTGCGAACTTGGATGAACCAATTTACCACTAATTCAAAAAAGAATTTTCTTCCTGGTAACCTTGTATTTCAGGTAACGGATATGCGTGTGTTTTCTATATAAACATACGTTTCTATACTTTATCATTTATGGAAATCCTTATTCTTCATACCCTAGGAATCTGCTTAAAAAAAAAAAAAAGATCTGTTAAGTCTTGCAATCCAGATTCTAAAATGTACTGCAGCTTTAGAAGTCTGTATATCATGACAATTATGAATTCCATGGTTTCTTGGTATTTTCTTCATAGATACTTCTTTTATACCCGGTTCTCAAGTGCTCATTAACTCTTAAGAGACTGAGAGTGTGAACGCCGTTTGCACTGAAGGAGCACATTTTCCCAGAGTTCTCAACTTCCCTTTTGCCCTGGAGCAACAGCCATCAAGGGATTTCAAGAAACTGGGCCTTTATCACCTGTGTCCAAATAGCTATTGTGAAATACTACAGGTTATCGTCACTAGTGTGCGCCCAGCAACCGTGAGTTTTGTCTCTGTTCTCATGCTCCAGAGAATTTCAAATTAAATTTTGTGCTTAACCTAGAATCATTCCAAAGCACTGAATGCGAATATTCCTACTGTTAAAGTCAAAAGACCAAACAACACTGAAAAGAACTTTCGGTGAAAACTAGCGGCTGCAGGAACGGATGGACCTCTAAGGAAGGAGGAGCCACAACTGAGTGACACCAAGAGATGGTCAAGGTTGAACTAGAAATATTATTTTCACTCATATTTAAGTAATATCCAATTTTGGGAGAAAGTGGGATGATTTTTACTATTACCCCAAAATAGTATAAATAGTAAGCCAACTCATGGCAGTTAAAGGCCCTTCAATCTCCTCATATGTGAGTGGGCAACCTCTACCTGAACTAATCACCGTGTTCCTTCACTTAATTTCCCTCTTACTATTGATGGATCCTTCTCAGAGCCATTCAGGAGGATAAAGGTTTTCAAAAAGCGTTTAAGAGGTCATGTGTTACATGAATTATTAACAAATAAAATATGAGGGATGTACCCAGTTTTAAAAGGGTTACTAAAACTTTCTGTTTTTACAAAATG